ACATGTTCGTGTTACCTTCTACAATTTACTGTATAAAGTTTCAGTTATAGTCCTTCTTTTCACTTTCCTATTGAAATCGATTTGTAGTTACTGATACTTACGTGTCAATTACTTATTTAATGCTATTGGAAAAGTATTTAAAAAATAATATAAAACCACACACACACATAAAATTAAAATTTTAAAAAGGTAGTATTCTCCTCTAGATTTTATCAATTATAATGTTATTTATTAACAATTTAAAATTGTTTCGAGTCTAAAATTGGAACGTAACACTGTAGTAAGAAAAAAATTTATTACAAGAATATTTGTCAAAATATTTCCCTTTTGGAGAAACAAATGGCGAATGCTATAAGTGACGCCGCCGGCGCGTTTTTTTATTTCCATTCAATCCCACGGAAACAAGTTATTTTCCTGCATTTACAATCGCGTTTCCCGGGAACGACAATCCAGATGTCGTCCTATCGACCGCACGCATGTATTTTTTTAGCCGGTGTGCATGCCTCGACATCGATATAATAGGGTTGGCTATACATATTATATATACTAATGCTCACACGGATTTTAGTTCTCGTGAAAGACTATGAAGCTCTCTTTCCGGGGGGTGTTAGTTTTTTTGATTAATATATATATTACGCGAAGAACATACTCGCGTGAGATTCGTACACAAAGCAGAAGGAGGGGTCTCTTTAAACTCAAAAAATCAACCTCCACTTACTGCGAGCGGAAATGAAGATTTCGAGACTTAGGGGTAACATTTCCTTCCTGTAAGATCTTATGACTGCGTGGGTGCGAGCTGCAGGTGCATCCCAAGATCGAACCCCAAAAGCAGCGGGACCAGAGGATGGGCGTTCCAAATTTAAGACGTGACGCGCCTTCTCGATCTTTCTCGAGAAGTTTGTGGTCAAGCCAAGTACTCTGAGGCTCTCAGCCTCTCGGGGTTAATGAGAAGGTCGCGACATCTGACCGAACGCCTTCCGTTATGACAGCTAGGCTGGAATATTTATGGGAAATTATGGATCATGGGAAAAAGAAAGGATCTCGTGCAAATGGATGTAACAAAGTGTTTAACGAAATTTGCTTATCCTATATTTATTAGTCTATGCTTTGCAATGTAAACATTTTTGCAGACTTATTGGTAAATTGTTATTTCACATATTTTTTAGTCCTTTTCTTAACGTATTCTTTATGGTAAACTGTTTTAAAACATTCTATACTAAAAATATAAATAAGATATTTTTATAAACTCGCGAATATATTTTATATTCTATATAAAAAAAGAATGCAAGTATTGTCTTGCAATTATAAAGCACGAATCGGTTGTAAGCAATTTCAAATAAAGGGTATCTACAAAAACAGAACAAAACAAGTTATGGACGATTTTTTTGTTAAGCCGTTTATACCTATTCAAAAATTCCAGTGAATTATTATACTGATGTAAAGGTAAAAGTCAGAAGGACTTAAAACTCTATTAGTTTCGTGCTTAACATGTTATCCGTCACGACACGTAGTGATATGTCAGTCTCAAGAATAAAAGGCAGTTATACAATATGCTACTTTTTTTGACGGTTACTACAAATAAAGTCATGAAATACGTCACTACAAAAGATATATTCCTTTTCCGAAATGGAAATGAAAATTTGACCTTGAATGAAGTAACAAGATTGACATTTATTATACAGGGCGTTTTCCTTTTTTCTTTCTTGTTCTACGAAAAGAACAGCTTTATTAAAGTATCTAGAAATTTAGCTAGATATAAATCTGAAAATAATTTTTTATTTGACTATATATCAAAATAATTATGTAGAATTATTAATGTTTAAGCTGGTCGTTAAAATGTCAAAATTTTTTGTAGCATTGTTTATCATGCTTGAGTTTCCTATATAATTATTTAAATAGGTCAACGAAATTATTTTCAAATCTGTATCTGGCTAAATTTTTGGATACTTTAGCAAAATCGTTTTTTTCGTGTAAGTACAAAATTATCTTTTCTACATCCATAATGTATAAGTTGAAGATATTTAAATTTTACTTTCACATCAAATTAAGTATAAAGATGATTTCAGTTTACGATAAGCAAAGTATTGTGATATTCTTTGCATACATTTTGAGTCACAGCTGTTTGTCAATCGATTGTTATCGAATTAACACAAATAATACTTGTATGAAACGCGAAAAGGTTTTTATACGTCATAAATACAGAATCGTTTCAAACATCTGGGCATCGATACTTAAAAGTGCATGAACGTGAAAAAAATTTCGACTACAGACCGGTTGCATTTATCGAGTCATCTCGTCACGAGGATCTAATTTTTAATCGTCTAATAACCCAACTTAGCTAAAGAGCTCTCATTGCATCTTGAATGTGAAACGCACAGCTGCTCCTGCAAACGAGGTAATTTATCGTAGCTAGATCTCCCGCGCGAATTCATGATACCTATATATATTCACTAACGAAGAGATGATTTTTTCACCAGTATTATTTGCCTATAGCGTGCGTGATTATTTTATTCGTTTCGGATTCTGTATATTATCTTCTATAAGATATACGAGACAACGATAAAAAAAAGTCTTCTACATTTGATAAAACTTTTGCGTATAAAATTAAAGTATAATTTTAAAAATAAAAAGCATATAGATTATAATTTTTTTTTTTTTTAGGTAATTTGAACAAGACGTAACTGTCAATGAATACAGCACAAAATAATTGATGAATCTCCGTTTTGTACATAATATGTATAATGAGTGCAAAAAGTATTCGTACACAAAGAAAATATTTTTTTAAAAAAACTGTATTTTTAAAAAGTAAATATTATCCAGCGAGAAATGAGTCATTGAATTGATGTTGAGTCAATATCGATACGATGATTTCAATACACCAATTTGACGTCGATTCGACGTTTAATTGACGCTCATTTCTTACTGAGTAATTAATAATTTATTCATAAAGAATAAAACAGGTTGTATGTTTTTTGAATTATATATACCAAAAAGATGTGTATTAATTACAAAAAATATATCATCTGAAAAATAAACGAAAATTAAAAATTGTACTGTTTGGATACTTAAAAAGTATTCGTACAGTCGAGAAATTTAGTTTCTAAAATCAAGAATATATACGAAGCTCATTTGTTAATATAAGAACAGAGTGTATTCATTGTATAAAATTGCTAACTAATGTTTATTTTCTACAAATAATACTTTTTTTATAAAAAATTTCCTTGTACGAATACTTTTTGCTCTCATTATATGTTCGTACTTTAAAACACATTTTGAAAGTTTGACGTAACATACCTTGACGAAATAAATCAATGATTTAGGAACAGAAGATCTTAAAATGCCGGAAGTAAAACGTAAGGCATTGACCAATAGGTTTTTTGATATACTAACTTATAGAGATTTATTGCTTTATTGTTCTGTTGTTCAATGAGAATATTAAAATTTAACAAAAAAGCGAACGTTATTCGCAGATTGTTTAGTTAAATTATACCTATATTATACATTTGTCTACATGAATTATAGTAAATTATGATTTCTATGAGACATCGCTTCTTCTTATATTTATTTACTGTATTATTTTACTCTTTTGATCAGTGTACCTCTATAAAAATTGTATATACCATATGTGGAACGGTTTTACTGAAGTATCTAAAAATTTAGCTATAGATACAAATTTGGAAATAATTTTATTGAACTATTAAAATAATTACAGTTTGTCGAAACTTGTAGCGTTGCTCATCATGTTTGAATTTCCTACACAATTAGCTTGATGATTCAACAAAATTATATTTTGATCTGTATGATGTATAACTAAATTTGTAGGTATATCAGCAAAACCATTCTTTCCCAATAACGAAATTTTAAGCATCGATCTCGTAATTCAAAAGTAACTTTGTTATTTTAATTCGCAATTTTATATACGTGAATTAAGTTTCTCCCTCTAAAATATGTGTTAAAAAAAAAAGAAAAAAATAAAGCCATATTGTACATTTTATACATTCACATTTCACAAATAGCGAGCACGTCAGAACATGTCACTGCGTTAACAGCGACAGCTTTGTACAGATAAATAACAGCACATTTTAAAACAATTCCCACGTGAGAGGCCCTGCATTCGCTCTCATATGCACCCGTGCAGTCCGTGCATCGGATCGCGTTGCGCGCGCCAGCCACACTTATGACGCGCGCATACGCATGCACATACACATGTCGACACGCAATGTTTGCCCTTCTCTGTCAGATGATCCTCTATTGCATGCCTTTGTGCTTTACCGCTGCTACAGTCGATGCGCGCTAACAATCAATTCTTTTTCATCGATGTCACGCTGTCCGCGTCGTGACAAAAATTGATCAAGCCGTAACATTTTATCATTAGAATTTTACATGCCATTATTACAATGTACGAAACAAAACGTCTATAGTGCATTTTTTTGTGAAATAATGAAGATAAAAAAATAAAATAATTATATAACGCCTATATTTATCATTTTTTTTGTTTATAGAAGATTATAAGACTCTTGTAAGAGTTTTCTTGTAGGAAGTACTTATAAAGGATATAATTATATCAATTGAAAATAAATTAAATATATCGCCTGCCTGGTTGCAAATTGCCCAAACCACTTCCGATATTATCTCCACAGGATGTAGCCCAAATTAAATAAGCGACTGCGTTGCACGAGGTTATATCCTGCAGACGGCGTGAATTCCCACACATCAACAGGTCTCAGGAGGGCCGAGGACCTCCCCACCTTTGGGGTACCCAATATCCCACTCCGGGACGCACTTTTCCCCACTCTTTACGGGTACATCGGCATGCGGTCTTCGAAATCGAAAACAGTTACCCTCAATATCCCAAGCGGGACGTCCATCAGTGAAGATGGACTTTCCTACACATCACTTTAACTTAATTTCGCAGTCACACGTTGACAAGACTGACTGCTTGATAAATGGTCAAAAATTGTTATATTTATTTATTTAAAATAAAGCATCGCGGTGCTTACTTTGGTGCAAATATTTTTCATATTTGCATGTTTGAAAGCACTTGGTTGTTGAAAAGAGTTTCAGTGTTCTTTCAGTGCAAACGTTCAACTTTGACTGATATTGTGAGTGTATGCAAGTAATCAATTGGGATAATTCTCAAGAATTAATTTAGTAATTAATTGCAATAAGTGCATTTACGCGCCCGCACAGAAGATATGGTGATCAAGATCTCTGCTTAATAGTGGATTACCATAACTACAAAATGTTAGGCAGCGAGGAAGAACTTGAGCCTCAAACGCATTCGGGAATGACGAAAGCAGAATTGAGGAGGGTAATGAATATATTTTGTAATCAGACGAGATTAATCCTCCGCTGGCAATGTTGAATTTTAAAGGCACAGTCAATTTTTTAATTGACAGTTTTGGTAGATAAATTTAAGTCTGATTTAAATCCGTAAAAGATAAAATACAACTTGTGTGACAGTAAACATTTGTTAATAAAAGTTTTATAAGTCTAGGAATATTTTAAGAATTTTTATGCAATCCGGAACAAAAAATATAATCTGCACTAAAGTTTAAAGACCTATTTTGTGGATGAAGGGTGAAAATTTCACATTGTCGAAGGCTGAATCGTTTCAATCATTTCAATTATTCCGAATCATTCCAATCATTCCAATCTTTCGTAATTGCATAGAAAGCTTTTATATCAAAAATTAATATATTTTGTTCGAAATGGGAAGAAGTAACAGACACGATGATTTAAACAAAATATTTACTATTATGAATAAATAATGAATATTAATCCTATTATTTCAGAGCAACAAACCGATTATGGAAAAACGACGACGTGCTCGAATTAATCAATATCTCGATGAGCTGAAGAATTTCATACTCGTTAGTGAAAAAGACGTAAGTTATATTTAATTTTTTTTATAATAAAATAGAGATTTTAAATGCTGGTCAGTTACTGATTAATAGCTAATTAATCGATACTATTTCTATATTAAAATTAATATTTTTTAAATCTTTTAATATTTTAAACATGTAATATTTTAAATTACTCTGTCAAAGTAAAGTTCATGACAAAAGATATCAGCGAAACACTGAAATGATAGCACGAAATTGCATGCCAGTCAGTACACGCATGATTTTTGTTTGCTCTTGTGAGATCCACATTGCTGGTGCCGTGTTAAAACATGTCGTAGAAAAACGTGACTTCTGTGCTGTTTATCTAGAGACATGATCCGCTTTATGAGAGATAACATAACAAAAATGTGCTACCTTTGATCGTGTTCTGAAGGACGCTAAAGAAATACAGCATTTTTGCACGCTATTTACAATATTATTATTTCAAGTATTATTACATATATATATATATATATATTTTTTCTCATTATTTCCTTTGAACTTGTCTAGCTCAATTTTAACACTTTATCCAAGGTGGAAAAAATTAGACAGTCCTTTATTATTAAAAATTGTCGTATTACAAACTATATAAAATGTTCAACATAATATTTTTTAAGGCAAAATGAAATCGTGTATTCCTGTCGATTTAATATCTATTTAAAAAAATGTAATTTTTGTTACGATAATACGAAACTCTGAGATGTATAAGACTGATTGATCATTATGTCGGTAGCGGAAGTTGTCATAACGGATGTATATTGAATGTATTTGATCAGGTTGTCCACTGTGGACCCCTTTTTCCGTCGGCATCCTCTGCGACAGGATCCGTTTTAGACTAGAAGATTGGACGAAAGGGAGTGGGGGTACGTTTTGTTTTAGTATTTTAGATGTCTCCGCGTGGGAAACACATGGAAACAGGATCCTTATACATCCGCATAATCTCTGTCCTGCAGATTTTACAATAGCATTTGAACTGGTCGCAAAGAAAAAAAGAGGACGGAGAAATCTCTTTAAAAAATCTCCAATTGCTATGCTTTGAAACTGACATGTTGATACCTGTAATTTCGAAACCACATTCGTCGTTTGTCAATACTGTAGAGTCAGTAATTATTTGAAATGTAACGTAATGCTTAATATTGATTATATAAATATATATACGTATATAAAGATATAAAAGAATTTTTTAAATTTTCAAACAAAGCATAAAACAAAAGAAGAAAACTATAAAATAAATGAACTTTCACTATGAAGTAAATGAATGAATTGATTATATTGATTGATTAAGATTTATCTCGCTTTTTTACGGATCAAAGATTCTCTGCCGCGTAACACAATCCGTTGAGGTTGATTTCTCAAACAGGGATGTATAACAAGACAAGACGCTCTCACCATTCTTTCTCTTCACTCTCGTCCAGATGACTTCCGCTACCTGCTCACTTCAGTGTGTCCGTCCCGTTTGTCCGAAACGCCCCACGCGTGTTCGTGGGAACCTCGAAATAATTATTACGAAGAAAAAGAATCTCATCTCAGGTTGCAGCCTCTTTTGTTGACCGTATCATCTTTAAGGATCCAGCTCCGGTCCGCGACGACGGTGCGGATCAGCGAAAAAAGGGGGAGATGCGCAACGCCTCTGCTTTCTTTTTTTGTCAGTCCTTTAACAGGTGCCATTTCTCCGCTCCTGAGTCTTGGGTGTCAAATTCACTCGCGGGAAAATCGATATCTGCGATATTTCTCTCATCCCACGCAATATATTATTCTTGTTATATTTTGGCAAATAATTTATTGGCACGGCTGGTTTTACGTACATGACTTTATTGCATTTCTTAAAAGTCAAAATACTGTCTACCAAGTCACAAAACATTTACATGATCCCATGTGTAAATGATCTTGTATCGACTCCCACGCTCATTCTTTAAGTGATCGCAAATTTACCATAAAAATGCGAACGTCGGGATGATCCGACAGGATAAGGTTCAAAGAATTGAGAGGATACAATGGACCCTTGAAAAAGAGGACCATACTACTATTGAGGTATTGGTGGTTAAAGGGCTGATGGGAATTTCTACGGCATAAGCTCGATTCGGGGAAGGTCACGTTCATCAGGATATCTGAAAAACCGCTTCGTGATATTTTCGAATCGTTTCCCACGATTGAACTGATCGCTCATAAGTGGCAAATTATTTAATAGTAACTTTATTTAGCAACTTTATTTTTTATATATTAACGATTGAATTTAAATTAATAATGAACACACAATAAGTAATAAAATAATACATTATTATATACATAATATATAATATAATTTATTACTTTATATATTCATATGTAATATATACGAATTATTATATATACGATATATTATAATGTATACATATGTATACAATTCGCATTCGCTTATCGATAGATTATTCCATAATGGCATGTTTGTGAGAGATAAACATCCCTAAGCAATTCACGCGTGACTTGAATAAAACGATCGTTAATGATCTATTGCATGCAGTTTATAATAAAAAAATCTAGGAGAATGTGTGTGAGAACAGAGCGTCCTTAGGCGCCCTTAGGCTAACTACAAAATAGGCTGCATTAGCTACTGTAGTTGCTAGTCTGTTATTACGGTAGCAGTTCACATCAAGTCAATTATATAGGCGTATCGCGTCATCATACTATACATTTCTTCAATAGAGGATCGATGTTGAAGAATTCTTCTTCTGACAAGAAGCCAATTTCTCAGACGTAGTTACTGATCTTTGAATAAGAAGAAATCTCCCATTTTATATCCCTTTTACTGTAATATCCCTTTTACCGTACCTTTATTGCCGACTAACTTCCGTAGATAACGTAGAGCTCTTTCAGTACCGATGCACGTTATGCTTTCTAACTTCTCGACCGAAAGGTCAGTTAGGTCATTTCAAGGTCATTTTTTTCCTATCCAATTATGTTTAATGAATAATATACATAATTAATTTTTGTATTATTAATTATTATTAGTCATTCGTATTGAGACTTTTATCATTTTTGCTTGTTACAGCCAACTAGGCACTCGAAGCTCGAGAAGGCCGATATCCTCGAAATGACGGTGAAGCATATACAAACGATGCAGCGGCAGCAATTGAGTACGGCCGTCGCCAACGATCCGGTGGTACTAACGAAATTCCGTTCCGGATTTTCCGAATGTGCTACCGAAGTATCGCGATACATCAACCGCCTCGAGAACGTCGACCCTGCCATCAAGCAACGATTGGTATCACACTTGAACAATTGCGTGAGCCATCTCCAGCAAATGGCGCCATTCTACAGCCAGTACGTGCCCTACATGCCGGAACGCCTCTACCCGGAGGTAAAGGTTGGTTTCCAGAGCGATTTCCAGAATGGGGATGAGAATAACAACGGTAGCGCGAGAATACAGATACCGAACGGAGTCCAATTGATTCCGAGTCGACTGCCAACGGGCGAATTGGCATTCTTGGTGCCGCAATCCGCCGGGATCTCCGCGAATTTTCCCTTTTTTCCACCAGCTACGGACGCATCTACGAGGATCGGTCAATCGTCGGCTTTTACCGCCGTTCATCGGCCGCACACCCCGCTACTAAGCCCTTCGACTTCCACGTCGAGTTACGGCGATGAGAGTCATCATTCGGAACATCCACGGGCGACGACGCCTAATCATCATCAGCCGCAACATCGATTCAAATTACTACCCGAACAGAGTCCTGCGTCCTCAAAGAGCTTCTCATCCTCGCCAGAAACTCAGAAACCGCAAATTAGCTCGACTAGTGACCGAAAATCACCCACATTCTTGGAATCTAAGGCCGTGGATGACAATGTTGCAAATAAAAAAGACGTCGCGGAAGGTTTGGACAATGCCACTCATACGAATGGTACCGTGACGCACGATTTGCGACAGCCGCTTTCCGTAATTACAGACAAGACTTACAATCGAGCCTCAAGTGGCTTGCTGCTCAAGAGAGACGGTCTCAAAAGACGTCATTCCGACGGGCTTTTGGCGATCTCAGATAAGAGACCAAGATATCAAGAACCCACTAGTTCGACCTCCTCGATGAATAATACCGATGTGCTTAAGAGCACAAATGAGCAATCTCCCGCAATTCCTACCCAAGATTTGCCCGGAAGTCAGAATTGTCAGACACCGCGAAATTGCAATTCAAATTCCGATAAGTTCCCAGCAAGCCCAGCAGGTTCTTTTGCTGCTAATGGAGATATGTGGAGACCCTGGTGATCGTTATTGCTAAAAATGAAAGATTAAAAATATTACGAAATTGAACAATTATTTTGGAATTATGTAGCACAAAAAATTAGATGTATTTTGATTTCTAATTATAAATTATCAAATTATAATTGATTAGCGAGAGTGTGCCATGAAAATATCATTTTACATAATTTGGAAATTTGTTTCGATTTGCATAAATCACAGAAATAATCAAGAAAACAGAATTTTTGTGTGATACATATTATATATTTCTTGTTGAACGATTTTAAAATATCCTAAGTGATTCTAGTAAATTAAAGAATATTTTAAAGATAAACAAGCTCACTGTAATGATGATAAAGCGATTTCATGCCAAAGCGTGAAATTGATTATATATTTTCTGAGCAAGATTTTTAATGTACTTGATGCATCGTTATGCTGCATCTTCGCCATTTCGTAAAGACTCATAAGCTTTAAATAGATTAAATAATATTTTGTTAAGTCTGTCACAACGCGTAATATGTGAATAGCCCTGTATATATTTCCATTTATTATTTAATTAATTAAACCCACGTCTCTTATAAATTATAATGTTACGTTAAATCAATATTATACGAGTGATGACTATTTTTAATGATCTGCGATGTCTAACGATGGTCAGTATTGTTAATTAACACGTTTACTGCTACAAAAATGTTAATGTACCCCGCAAAAAACAAATTAAATGTCACATAATTTGATTTTAAGGTAATTTTTTACAAATGTTTCTAATTAAGTCAGTTTTCGATCATAATATACACTGTTAGAAGTATAATCACAAATTTCCTTTGTAAATGAAGCTCATGGTTAAATTTAAGTTACCTAAATGTAATAACCGTGTAAATTTACGAAATTTAATGTACTTTTCATAACATTTGGTGAAAAAGTACATAAAATTCATAAATTTTCATGAAAAATACATTAAATTTCATATACATGTACACAAATGTACTTTTCAGTTATAAATACATCAAATTTAATGTAATGTTATGAAATTAAGTTCAAATTGTGTAACTTAAAAGTATATTAAATTTTATGAAATTTTTAACAGCGTATAGAATTTTCTGTATTTTGCTAGTTGCATTTTATTCGTATATTAATCCGATATATTAAAACATTAAAGCGGCGACTATCATTCGTGGCATTCAACGTGTTAAAATAATGTAAAGAGTTTGTGATAAAAAAATATAACATTGAAATACAATCTTTGAAAAAGACACGATGTTTATTTCTTATTATTCTCGCGTGTACAATACATTCGTCGACAAAATAAATAAACTTATAGAATGCAAACCAATCTCATTGTAAGTGTTACAATTCTATCTCGCAAAAAAGCTCCTACATATTCTACCAATATTCCACGATCTACCATATTCCACGATCTCGTAAAAGCACGGAAATTTTCCTCGTTGAAAGAGCCATCGGAGGCGCTTTACCCTTTTAAGGAGCGTTAAACGCGCTCCGATTCATAAACTGGAACTTATTCTTTCCTTTTTTGCCGATAAAGGAGCAAAAAGCTGTGGAGAATGAGAATTTCAACCACCTGTTACACCGCAAAACCACCCGCGTTCTCATCGACTGAATGCTTAAACTGATTTATCGACAGAAATCGCAAACTTTGTAAATTCCCTTAAGTCTTATTCTTAGAGCGCACGTACTTAAATTTTTTTTAATTTAAAATTATTGCTTACTGATACAGAAGTGATCAAACAATACAGTCGATTACGCAACCGGAATGTATAACAAAAATATATCCAAAATTTACGAGGAATTCGAACGATTTAACAAATCATTGCAAATTTAACATTTGTTTTATCTGGCTGATTTAAATAGTCATAAATATGTAGTTGTCGCTGTGACATAGTATTATTTACAACCAGTTTTAATGTATTGAAATCCTGTATAAGTTCGAGCATTGACAGTGAGATGGCGACACACATATTTGAGATTAAAATTTTTTATTCTCAAACGCAATCATCAAAGAATGCCTGTAAATTATGACATTTCGAATTTTCATTACATTTTCATCGCAAATAAATCTAATTTGCTAAAAATCGTAACGTAAAATTAACAGAACGTTTCTAACTTTGTTGATTAGTTTTATATTGAAACGAACAAAATTACAAGTAAAAACTAAAAAAAGAAGGTACTAGTTTATTTGCTCGTAAAGTATTTGGTATTACTGTGTACATTTAAATTCGATATTATTTAAATATCATTAAAATTGATATAGTTAACCACGGCAATAAAATGTTTCGTTTCATTTCAAATACTTCAATAGGGTACAAATAACGTTACTTTCATTAAAGATTATTGTATACATCTTCTTAACGTAAGAAAAATGAAATTAAAAGGAACAGGTGAATTTTATAGTTTCTTTCTTCGATCCTTGTGTGACGGGGTACCGTCCTACGTTGTGCGAGGCATCGAAGTCGCCGATTCGTCCGCTTAAATTCGGGTTTAATATCACACACTCTGCTCGTCCCTTTTCGATATTCACGTGCACAATGGGCCTCGATGTCGGTGTATATATAGATTCTGGCTGGTGAGTAACTCCCGTACACTATATCACGAGTATAAATAATTACTCCGGCGCACAGCAATTACTATAAGTTATGGCGCGGCCGCTACAATTTGCAATGTCAAGACATAAACACTGCTACCGCTTACATTTGAATACATTAAGACGATGGGAGTCTCTGATTGGACCGACGGGGAGTGGTGCGGTCCCGTATCGGTAAGTGAGCTACGATCTGGTTGACGATTTTTATTGAGGAAACGATCATCTCGCGGGTCTCTCTCGGCAATCACAGCCGTTGCTATTGCCGTATGGTTGCAGTCGCGAGTTGCCGCTTGATGGATCTCCATTCCCATTCCGTTCGCGAGCACACGTTAAAGTGGATCTGCGATTTTCAATTGATGTGTTGAAGTATTTACGACAGTCGAGATAATCTATTCTCGTGCAATTGTCTTATGATAATCCATGGATCTTACGTTCGTGATAGATTGCACGATTACAGCGCTCAATATGTACCTTGTTTTCTTCCTCAATTTGGATGTTTATCGCGAGAATGGAAGAATGATCGCAACGATTGACAATAAAAGGGTCTTATGCTTGTTCAACGGCAGACCCCTTAAACATCGAGTTGACAGTCCAATTAACCTTTAGAGGGCGAAGATATATTTTTTAAATCTTACAATTTTTTCTTTAGTAAGATTTACTCTATAATTAATTCTTTCATTTCTTGTCTCAAAATATAACACTGTTTCAGAGCCACTCAATCTATATCGTTCTGTAAAGGTTAAAGTAGAATAGCGAAGAAGAAGATGCTAATTTTTGTCTGGAAAAAAATAGATGGTCTCTTCATACCAATCCGTGTAATAAATTTAACATTCCAAGTTGTTTGATACAAGCATATTGCGAAATTAGACATATCATAATTTACGATCGCTACGGCGGATGATGTAAATGCATAGCGTGCAACGCTAAAGATCTATAAATCACAGGGAGCAACCGCGAATCCGCGATGGGGCGATGAGAGGAAAACCTATAGCCGCGCGATCGCAGCTCTATTCTCTATTACCAGAATCAAGTTCGAAACAGCCTCCCAGAGAGAGACCAAACCATGATCTTGCCGGGCGACTCATCGATCGGTCGAAAAAACGATCGTCGAAAGCCAACCGAGTGCACAGGCTGTTTCCGTTGCGGTATACGACCAGACGCGAGTGCCTCCGGACGGCGGATATAGCAATCGGCGAGTGTTTTTCGCGAGTAGTTATATTTCGATGGGTATCCGATCGCAAAAGAGAGAGGTTTGGGGGATGATGGGATGGAGGCGGATGAAGAGGAGGAGGAGGCGGAGGTTCCGTCCGCGCGTATGTGCGGCCGCCAGGCCATTTGCCTCTGCGGTCTCTTGATTCCTAGCGACTAAATTTTCATCTGTACTCATTCAAGTTTTAATGTGTTTTTGCGGCATCAGTCATTCAAACTTAATCAACAACCGGTTACACGTCGGTGCGCGAGCGCGACCACACAGATTCGCGCGGCGTCGTCGGTACAGGGCGGTCGAGGCGGCGGGGCGGCCGCGTGGTGCGGCTCGCGAGTGTGTAGGTGTGCGGGCGCGACGGAATATTGGTCGGGCGCACTGTGACGAGAGCGTATTAATTATAACTCTGGTCAGAGGAACGTCAAGAGATGCTTTCGCAGATACCTACGATAAATTGTCGGTTTACCAGCAAATCTCATTTCCAAACCCCGCCATTTTTCCGCTCGTTTATCCACGCCCATTGGGAGAGCACCGCGCGCTACGGCGCGCTCGGCTCGGCCAACGTCGCGGTATTCCCTTCCTTTCACGTGTACACACGTGTGTATATCCGGCCGCGGTGCACGACTGTCGCGTGCACAAGAGTGCGATGACAGCGGAAGGGAGAGCGTTTTTACCCAATAAAGTTGGTGAGCGTAATAGGAATGTCGGCATTAACGAGTTCATTCGGCGCTTATCGGGCATTGCCGGTCTGCGACGTGTCATGATAAGGTTTTATTCATTTTCAAATCCATAGAATATCTTGCGTATGTTTTTCGTGCGATTATTAATCGCGTCAGAGCCCACCAGAAATTGTCCCACCGTGACGTCAAAATAAATTATACCATTTTCAATTATATTAGATTTACTAAGAAATCGTCGAAATTCTCGTACCAAAGTCTTACGAAAATACTTTGTCTTGGAAAAAAAAAAAATCTTCTCATGTATACATATAAATGTAATTTAATTACTTAAAATTTAAATGTGTTATTGCAATACATTGCAGTTTACGTGTTCAATGTATTACAATACGGTTACCACTCTGAGAAGGAAAAAAAAAAGACGGAACTAAACCGCGCAATTAATTGGCCAATTTCCAAACATTCTTTGTAAACCTCAGTAACGAAGTTTTGTACGATACACAGTACCGAATTAGCTAAGCGTAGCGGAGAAGTGTCGGTGCAAGTAGTCCGAGGGACATTTATTTGGCTGTCTCCGAAGCGGTCGGGAGTTCCGAAGAGAGTGTGGTACTG